GTTATTGCAATAGCAATTATGATAATAGCTGTAGGTCTTGAGTTTTGTAACCCCTTTACCTGGAAGGGGGTATCCCCTATTTATACTTGAGCTGCATGGAGGTAGGTGGAGATGAACGCCTAAGATGGGAGCTGTATGGGGGCTTGCAGGGAGTTTGGTAGGGTCATGTGAGCGCACCGCGGTTGGCTCCGTACAATGGGGGCAGGGTAACCCTTGCTGTAGTGGATCTCGTTCCTTGTTCTAGCGCTCGTGGGCTGGGTTTCCTAGCCTCGAATGGGCTAGGTTGGGTCACCCCACATCACTTGACCACCACTCCTGAGGCTGAGGAGAAGAATTTGGCTTTGGCCAATGGGAGTAGTAATGGTGAGCGCTAGTGGGCCCGACAATCGAGGTGTACCCTGTAATGGCGTCCTCTTTTGTGTCTCTACCTGGTTTGTTTTCATGAGTCGGGCCAAGGCTGCGAATGATCTACGACACTACTGCTTCGGTTGGGTGATCCGAAAGGTGCACTCAACGCTAATGTTTAGGCGTCGTCATCTGGGCCGAGGGCCAGGGGGAGGTTGGTGTATCCGGAAGCGCGTCGTTAAACACTTCGGAACACCAGCTTAAACATTTATAATTTTATTCCGATTCTCAAACAACTACTAACACAGTAAAGTGATGAGAACAGGTCATATCAAAAGTGAAGCGAGGGAAAAATAATTATGTACTTAGATCTGAGAGAAGAAAACACAAGTGTGAGTTGCAGAAATAAAAAAAAAATAATAATTAAAACCACATTCGAATAGTATTGAAAATAACAACTACATAAGAATAAATAAATAACAGAGACAAATAAACAACATGAACGAAATAAAAATGTTTGAGAATCTGATCAGAGGTAGCAGTCTACGGATCTCTCCTTCGACCCTCAAACTTCTCGAGCTAGGTCTTCTGTCTTACCTGGCTGAATTCCAAATTTGTAGAAAAGAAAACGAAAATCAAACGGAATGAAAATAAATTGCAGAAAGTAAATAACGAAATTGGAATTGAAAGAACAAAAATTAAAACTAAAATAAAGCAAAAGTGGTTGGGATCCGATTCTAGAGGTGGCAGTAGTGGTGTTGGCGAACTGCAAGTGTGAACCCCTCCTCTTGCCTGGGCGTCCTCATCTTCCTCTACCCTTGAACTTCTCAAGATCAGCCTTCCGTCTTACCTGGGGGCAGAATCCAACCCTTTCTCAGGAGCTCTTGGGTCATTTTTATAGAGAATGGTGGATATAACTAGAATTAGAGATAAAGAGGGGGTGGCTGTTGGGTTTTAGCAAAAATATTGGTGCCCTAGGGTTTAGAATGAAGGGTTAGGATGGTTCTAGGGTGATCTTAAGGCTGAGAAGAAAAGGAGAAAACACCCAATATTATATAAGGCTGAGATTTAGTGGCTAAAGGCTGAATCGTATGGATTAGAAAGGTGGCTCGTAGGGTTTGAATGCTAAAAAGAGAATGCCCTAGAATGGATGGTGGAGATTAGAAGGGATGGAAGGTGAGGATTTAGCAGTTAGGGGTGGCATGGGTTTGTTAAGAGTGAAAAGAATGGGTTAAAAGACACCCTAGGGTTTGCTAAGGCGTGGGGAGCATGGTAATACAACAGGAGGGGCGCCAAACTGGGTTTAGCAGTTAGGAGGCGCCCTCCTACTTTCAATTTTTCACAAAAACACCCCCTCTCTCAGCTGGTCTTCACATCAGCTTCCCAAAAACTACAATTCATCCATGAGACCTTTCGACTTTTGCACAAAATTTGTATAGACTCTCAGAGGTCATAACATTGAATTTAACTGGGAAAAGAGCATACTTTGACTATTCTTAGGCTGAAAATACCCCTGAAATGATGTCCTTAAGGCATCAAAGTGTAGAGTTATCACACCCCCCAACTTAACCATTGCTAGTTCCTTAGCAATGCAGCCTTAAAACTACACTGAGCATAAAGATCCTTCCCATCTCAAGATCATCCCTGAAAAAATTATTCAAGCATCCAGATTCCAGCATTCTTAAACTCTATATATATCAGTATTGGGCTTAAGGGGTAAAATCATCTTTCTTTGAATATTATAGAAACTTGGCTTAAAAATCTTATTTACCCTTCCATTTGTTGATTGTCTTGATAATCTGGTATTGATTTTCAAATTAGACATATATTCTTCTTATCAATTTTTTACAGTGGATTTATACCCCTAAACATGATATGCATACTTATTTTTTTTGTTACCTACCACTGTTTGACGCGAATCTCGACCCTTGCCTTATGTGAAGAGATCCGGTTACTAAGTGTTAGGTGATTGTCTTTGGCATTCCCTTTCCCATTTGACGCAAATCTCGACACTTGACTTAGGTGAAAAGACCCGATTACTAAATCTAAGGTGTCCATTGACCTTTTATTCTCTCTCTCTCTCTCTCTCTCTCTCTCTCTCTCTCTTGCAATATTATTTAGGGTAGTCCACTGTTTCTAACAATTTGAAGTATTTTTATCTAATTTCTCCATGTTTCTCTTCTTATCTTGGTAGGGGCAAACTTGGGAGTATTTTCCAATTCCTAAACGATTTCGACAATATTCAAATAAGACCAATTTTCACTCCTATCACTTGCTACCAATTTCAACAAAATTCAATATTGTTGTATCAATTTTCTCAACTTTTTCTGTTTAGGAATCGCTTTTAATGGAAAATTTTAAAAATTTCTCAGTAAACTTTAATTCTACACATTTAAAAGCTTAGCTTTAATCACTCTAGAACACCAGTTTAAAAATTTATAATTTTTACTATTTTTCAAACAACTACTAATATAGTAAATGGGTGAGAATGGGTTGTATCCATAGGGAAGCAAGGGAAAAATTAATATACACTCAAATCCGGACAAGAGAGCACAAGAGAGAAGTGCTGAAATATAAAAATTAATTAATTAAACTGAGAAAAATATAGAATTTGAACAGTACTGAAAGTTAAAAGTGCAGAAACATAAATAAATTAACAAAAGCAATGAAATAAAAATGTCTGAGAATCCGATCAGAGGTAGCAATCTACGGATCTCTCCTTCGACCCCCAAACTTCTCGAGCTAGGCCTTCCATCTTACCTGGCCGAATTCCAGATCTGCGGAAAAGAAAAACGAAGATCAAACAGAATGAAAATAAATTGCAGAAAGTAAATAACGAAACTAGAATTGAAAGATCAGAAATTAAAACTAAAATAAAGCAAAAGTGGTTGGGATCCGATTCCAGAGGTGGCAGTAGTGGTATTGGCGAATTGCAAGTAGGAACCCCTCCTCTTGCCCGGGCATCCTCCTCTTCCACTACCCTTGAACTTTTCAAGATCAGCCTTCCGTTTTACCAGGACAGGATCCTACTAGCTAGTTCTAGACTAAAGTCACAATAGCAGTTATGACAATAGTTGTAGGTCTTGTGTTTTTGTAACCCCTTTACCTGGAGGGGAATACCCCTATTTATACTTGTGCTGCCTGGAGGTAGGCAGAGATGAACGCCTAAAATAGGAGCCGTACGAGGGCCTGCAACATGTTTGCAAGGGCCATGTGAGCGCATCGCAGTTGGCTCCGTACAATAGGGGCAAGGTAACCCCTGCTGTAGTGGATCTTGTTCCTTGTTCTAGCGCTCATGGGTTGGGCCTCCCAGCCTCGAATGGACTAGGTTGGGTCACCCCACATCAGCACCTATAATTGTTGTATGATACATATGGAAAACTTGAGGAATTGGGAGCTTCTATGTGGGTGGTTTTAATGATGGAAGCCCTTTAAGTGCTAACAATTGGAGTGCTGCCAATTTCTGACTTTGCATGCATGGCTGTGATGGACGAGACATTATTATTTATTTTATTTGCCAAAAATACCCATGTTATTGTGAATTAAAGCAATGGGCATTTTGGTCTCAAAGTCGAACGAAAAAAGAGCACTGTATAATGTTTTGCACACTACATATTTGTATTCATATAGTCCTTTCAAACTGAGCCTAAGGTTGTGTTTGGTTGCAATGTAAATACACTGATGAAAAATCACGGCAGTGCAAATAATTTGTGTATAAATTTTCACTTATTTTTGTTTCAAATTTGAACTTATTTTATTTGGTTGCAATACAAATGAAATAAATTAAGATATGAAGCAGAATAAAGTAAAACACAAAGCAAAATTAAATGAAAATTTGCATTTTTTTTTTTATTTTTGCACACCTATGCATTTCCACTAGTTAAAATAAAATTGAACTGCAACCAAACACAAGTCTAATATTATAAAGACCAATACCAAGTCTAATGTTATGTGGTGCGTCTCAACCTTTTCTTATCAGTCTCCAATCATGTTGAAAAGTTTTCTTACATAGATCCCCTCTAAAAATGGCAGCAGTACAGTGCAGGAGTTCCACCAATACGAGATGTGGTCAGGAGAGGGACAGAGATGTATGCATCCTTAACTCTGTATTTACACACCCATTACATAACTATATCTTTGATATAGTCAGTTGACTAATTACCTAGTAATATATAACATTTAAGAGCCGGATTGATGATGAAAATGCAGATTGGTGTTAGATAATATTTTCAAATTAGGAGCTTAATTCTTTCTCCAGTTTCCACCAGACCGGACCACACGCTTAAATGGCCGTATCAAATTTTCGTCCCTTGCATATTTATAAATCTGTTCTAGCCAAACTAAAAGAAAGGTGGGTCCCGCCGTTTTAGCCGTTGGTGGAAAGTGTGAGTGGGGTGGCAAAAAGAGAGCTGTGAAATCCCCCTCTATTACATTAACTCCAGGCACCTACCTCTCCCCTTCTCTTCCCTTAAAACCCCAACTCCTCTCTTCCTTCTCTCTACCCATCTTTTATCATAAGGATTGTTTGTTTACTTTCTTTGTTTTCTGGGTAGGAAACGAGTAGCTAAGATTTCTATTCAACCAACTTCATTTCTGCTCCTAAACATTACTTTGTTTTTTCCCCTATTTCATCCCTTTCAACTCTCTTAGCAATTATGGGAGCTTTGTTTCTAAACTATTTCTCTACTACATCTAAGAAGCTTGTGAAGTCATCATCAAGTATGCATGAGTACTGGTGCTATGCCACTGCGTCGTCGTGGAAGACTCAGAAGAGCATGAGCATTGTGCGTTGCCAAAGCGGGGGCAACCACGCAAGTTCCACTGGGTTGTCTTCTGTTCGAAGTGAAAGTTCTGTCCCTGTGAGGACAATGGCTACCGCTAACGATCATAGCACAGCTCTGGTTTTGCCTCCCAATATTAACACCCATGATGACCAGACGCTGGTCAAGGATCTGGTTTCTTTTGTTGGGCCAACCACCACCCTGATGGGGTCCCATGATGGTATTGGGATTGTAAGGTTTCTTAAAGGAAAGCAGTTTCTTATCACTGGTGCAACTGGGTTTCTAGCGAAAAGTGCGTTTATTTTATTACTCCTTTATTCCTCTAAGTAGATTCTTTCTTATTTTTCGCTTTTCTTGTTTCTTATTGTTGTGTTGATTCATAAATGATAATGCAGTTGGGTTTTACTAGATATTTTTTTAATTTAATTTTGGCGATTTTCAGTTCTTGTTGAGAAGATTTTAAGGACAGTTCCCGACGTGGGAAAGATCTATCTCATGATCAAGGCGAAGAACAAGGAAGCTGCAATGAACAGATTGAAGACTGAAGTAAGCTTTCTTTTTTTTTTATTTGAAGAATTAATTCATTATTTCAAAGTGCTCATTTCTAGTACTCTTACAATTATATATATCATGGTTGATCTCACAACGTAGTTTTGCTTTAATTAATTAAAACTTGCTTCTGTGTTTAATTAGGTCATAAACACAGAACTTTTCAAGTGCCTGCAACAAACCCATGGGAAATCCTATCAAGCCTTCATGTTGAGCAAGTTGGTTCCTGTTGTGGGAAACGTCTGTGAATCTAATCTTGGAATGGAAACAGACTTAGTACAGAAGATTTCAGAAGAAGTGGATGTAATTGTGAACTCAGCTGCCAATACAACCTTCGATGAGAGGTACGTGAATCGGACTCAATTCTTATAAATTGCTCCTAATCAGTCGTCATCTAATTAATCTGTGTGATTCTGATTTCTTATGCTAACCACTAACCAACTTTTAATCGGTTTTTCAAAAATATACGTAGGTATGATGTTGCTCTTGACATAAACACACAAGGACCTCGTCGACTTATGAACTTCGCGAAGAAATGCAAGAAACTAAAGCTCTTTCTGCAGGTATCAACCGGTAAGTAGC